GGGGGGGCGGGCAGCGAAACCTCGCGAGAAGTCGTTGCGCGGAGGCTCGCTACTGTGCAAGAGCGACCCCTACAAACGCGTGGTCTGGGGTACCCTCCGGGCAGCTGTCAACTGGGGTGACCGGGGGTCTCGGGCGGGGGAGAGCCTGGAGGAGTATACTACTGCTCCTCGGCCCCGCACTCCCAGCCCAATCCCGCAGTTACAAATAACTGCGCCTGTCCCCGGCAGCACCTGACTGCGCGAGAACCCAACACCGCCGGCTACAGCCGGGTTCGCAGAGCTTAGTGAAGCACTCATGTGCGGGGTTGTCCGAGCGCCCTCCGCTAATTTGGCCCTTCGCCTCTGCTCTATGGGGTGGGTCTTGGATCATCGGTAGCAGCCCTCCAAGAAAGTTAACCTACCCTAACATCTGACGCAAGGTCAATCGTATCTTAAGGTGTTCAACAAGAACGAGGTATAAAAATTTGGCTCAAATTAAGTCGAAGGATGTTTTGACTACATACAGAAAACTTACGGATTATTGATGGGAGAAAGCTAATATTGTTTTTCAGTTACCGTTAATATTTAAAAAAAAACATTAACCATACCCGGGGTCACTTAATTCAACAACTCAGAACTGTCTTGAAAGATACCCTTAGTTTTGGGAGAGCTCTAAGTATAAATATGAAATAATCGATTAGTCTTTTGTATCTTTATTTTTGTTATTACTATACTTTTGTTTGCTACACTGTCAGTATCACTTTTTATGAGAAAGTATGTATGGCGTTCTTATCAGTTTCCCCACCCCTAACCCCAGTTTTTGGTAACTGAGTTATGCTAGCTTTGGTCTTTATATTCTGGAATGGTGCCAGGAACTCCTAAAATATTCTGAATATAGGAGTGTAAACAACTAAATTCAGGAGTCTCAACTGAGCTGCAGTCACAAGGAGATTAGATCAGTTGAGTTTGGCAATTCTTAGAAAGACTAAGAGTTTGTAGAGACAAACCACTTGCCTATAAGTAATCTATGAGATACGACTCAGTCATACCTTGTTTTGATATAGGTTAATGGAACTTTTCTTTCTTAAAGATGCTGAAAGTGATAAACAGAAAATTTCTCTGTAACATGAACAAAATATGTCTATTTTAGGATTCCATCTCTGTATTTCTTTCACTTTTAGCCTGCTTATTGGTTTTATATAACCAATACCATAAGGAAGACTCAGTGGTAGCTCCTTGCTTTAGCACCAAGATTCCTTCAACTTCTGCCTTCTAAATTCTGGAAAATTTTAGTATTCCCAAAGAAGCATTTATTCTCTGGATATGTAACACAGTTCTTTTTCTGACATTATTTACTTTGAAGTAAACACAATTTCCGGGTTTTCTCATAAATTTCCAACATGGCCAAATGGCAAAATTCTTGGACAGACAGGAATTTTTATTAGTTGCATATTAAAATCTGAGGAGCTCTAAAGAGAATTAGGGATGTAATACAATAATATATTACAGATAAGGAAAATAACAATTCTCCTAAGATGACTAAAAATTAGTACATAATTTCTCCCTAGTTTTAATAAATTTAATACAGCTACTGGAAGTCATTTTTCTGACTAGAAACCCAAATTCTGCAGTGAGAGATGCTGATGCTAGGTTTGGGTTTGTTGAGTACTTGGAGAGCTTTAGATAAAAGATCTCTCCACCAGCAAAAGTTATTCTAACTTTCCACAGTACCTTTTCACTGAAAGTCAAATTTCCTTAAGAATAGTTGATGTTTTCTTTTTATATTTGATGCTCTGTAACTATAGCTACATAAAAATAACCACATTCCTTTATTACTTGTATTTTTTTCTAAGTTTAATTCTCAAAGGGAAAAATTATAAGGAAACACGATATCAAGAATTTGGAAACTTTTCTGAAATTACAGATAATATCATTAGATCAATATAGATTTGGCCTAATTTCCTTAATCATTTATGTCAAGTCTATTGAGCATTAATAATATCCCCAAAATGTCTCTAGGACAAAGAGCCTACATCTTAAAAAAAAAAAAAAAAAAATTCACTTATGTTCACTATGGTCTAAGTAGAAAGAAATGTTCTGAAACATTAAGCCAAAGAGGGTTTTTCAGGAAAACATCTATATCAGTGGCCAGTGATAAACTAGAAAGCAAAGATCTGGACTCTTGGTTTTCCTACTTACAATGCTTTGGAGGCCACAATTTCGTGTAAAACAATGGAATTGAATAGGTGATCACTCTCTGAACCAAAATTCTCCAAGCATATCAGTAAACATAATGGTTTTCACATGTCATTTCCCTTCTCAAAACTTACATTTCTTTATTCTTTCCAATTAAAATTCCATCTTTTAACCTAATTAATATTTTACTTCTTTTTAAATTGCAAATAAATGAATGACTTTTACATTTTGAAAATGTGAAATATAAGTGTGGTATGTGTCATGCCTAGTCAGAAATGTGTTGTTTAACAAAACTTGTATTAAGATATGCTTCTGATTTTACTCTCTGAGCACCAGAATCTCAACTAGTCGAAAGATGCACATTTATATCTAAGGCCCTACATCTTGGCACATGAGCCCACCATCCCAGGTCTAGTTAATTCTAACCAAGGGAGACAACCAACCAGAGAGCAAGTCTGCAGCAAGCCCCTTCTCTCTTGGGAAAGTTGTCATAAACATTGTCATTGTCTTCAGTGCTGTCTTCCTTAGGGAACAATTGGCAAAAACAGGAGAAAGTGCTGGGGAAGGTGTGTTCTATGAGGTCACAGCCTTTTCTTGGTCTCTTATCTTCAGAGTGCTAGATACTAGGAGTCTGGATCTCAAGTCCCAGCATCCATGTCTGTGGAAACCAAGTTACCCAAGGCACTGAGTGTCTGTTTTCTATTCTGACCGTCTCCTTTTCCCAAAGACAGATTGCAGTGGTTTGCACCCTGCCTTTTCCTTTCAGTCAGACTAAGCTGTGTCTAAACTCCAAAAGTCAAGAGTATGTATTTAGCCCAGCTCCTGGCACATAGTAGAACCTCGATAAATTTTTAGTAAATGAGGAAGGGAATTTATTATTATTGGGGGGGAGGAAGGCCAAGATAAGAAGGCAAATCGGGAGATAAGCAAATAAAGTTGCTCCTCAGACACCAAAGGAGATGATAAATTAAGCAGCACGTCCAAAATGCAACTAATACAAATGGAAGGCCAAAAGGAGAAAGTAAAGATTCGCAAGGAAGGATCAGAGACAGTGTGGTCGTGGAGAAGGGTTGATGCAGGAACAAATTATGCGATTTGGTTATTCGAAGTTATCCTCTTACATACTATAATTTGGCATAAACCTGCTGGGTTTAGAGCCTTAAAACAATAGGCTTCTACCAGGTTCTTATAGTCCTCTGGGGAATTCCAGCATGATCCAAAGGTCAGTGACTTAACCTTGACACCTCTCTTTTTGTTCTTACATATTCACTGGTGACAGCAATCAAGAAGCCAGTTGTAAACATTTAACTAAGACAATTAATAATTTATTTTACCATTACATCAGTCCAGTTTGATTTATATGATTTCTGACTTTACATAATTTCTAGGGTCTTTGCCGACAGTGTCTCACTGTTCAATTCTTGTTGTCTTTGTCTTCCATTTGTTTAGCAGGAACTTCTTATGTATCTGGGAAACAAAGAATAGCAGTTCATACTAGCTACTAGTGAAACCTCCTGCCTAAAAACAAGTGAGCCCTTTCTCAATTGTCATATCCTTTTTTTCATGCCTGATAGTGATTTTGATGCTCATCAAAAGCTGTCTTCTGGTGGAGAATAGCCTCAGAGTAATGATGTAAGCATGACACTAGGGTAGTAAAACAAGTGATATAATCTTTTTGAAATTGCTAGTAGTAACTACTGGGGTTAAATGTATGCATATCCGACAACCGACCAATTTCACTCTTAGGTGAAATAAACATCAGAAATGATAATTCATGGGCACCAAAAGACATATAGGAAAATATTTGTAATTGGTCCAAAACTAGAAAGTATTCATATGTCTGTCAACAGTGGCCTGAATTTTTTAAGTGTGGTACAGTCACATAGTTGAATGCTATATAGCAATGAAAATTACTGACGTGCAACTATATGCAATTATGTGGATACATTTCACAAGTAGAAAACTGACTCAAGGAAGGCAGACACAAAAGAACCAACTGCATTATTTTATTTATAATGTGAAAACCATACACACACACACACACACACACACACACACACACATATTTATACTTAGAAATGTAGTGCTTTCCTTGGGCAGAGGGTAGTAACTAAAAGGGGAACAAAAGGGAAGTTCTGGAGTTCTGTTCATGTTATGTTTCTTAATCTGAGTGCCAGTTACACAAGAGTGTTCACCCTGGGGAAATTCATAGACCTGTTCACTTAGAATTTGTATATCTTTTTAATGTTATGTTATACTTCAATAAAAAGTTTATATGAAATAAAGACATAGATTTTCTTACTAATGCTCTTATACTAATGCGTTACTTACTATAAGACTTGCTCAGTTATAAAGTACAACTTTGAAGGACTGTATAGTGCTTATAAAGGGTCAAGATAAGAGCAAAAAGTTGAGTTGTAAACTAATGGAAAAGGTAGATAATCTTGATATAGTCTAAGATTTAACCAAGGAAATAATATCTTAATGAGTCCTTTAACCAAGGAGCATCTTAATAAAAGCCTTTTGGTACCTGAATACCCTTAAGAAGATGCTCATTAGCTATTTTCCTTATTTACTAGGAAAAAAACAAAAGGAACTGGTATTTTAAACAACCTAGTGTTTTATCTTATTTGACTTGTAGCACTTTCTCCTGTAAAATGTCCATATGGATAGACCCAGCAGGGATCTGGTAGTAAGGCCTAGTGCAACCAGTATATACCCTTGTCTCTGGCTCTAACCCCAGACTGTCAGGTGTTGGATGGGAAATTGCTTTAAGGGCAGATAACCAAACATAAGGGCAGCCTTCAGAACAGATGGAAAGCTCAGCACCAAGAGAGAGCCATTAGAGAAATCAAGCATAGCATAAGGTAAGTCACTGTACGTACATGCAGAAACTTAGCAGGATGGCAAGCCAGTTTCATTTATCGCCAACTCCAATTGATTGGTATTGGTTACCCAGAAAACTATGCTGAGCAAAACTTATAGACCAGGTCCAGAATTTACAGGAAAAATGCCTTGGTAGATTAATCTGTCTACGAGCAGACTATCAGACTAGGCTGAGCTGCATTATAGGATCACCATGGTTTGTTTGCAACTCTTCAAAAAGAGAAGACAATGAAAAT